AAACTGTATGCAATGAACACCTTTTTTAAGAAGAAACAGAATAGAAAATGGACGTGGGCTAGTCCAGACGGAAGAACTAAGAGCGAATATGATTATATAATAACAGACAAAAAGCAAATTATTCAAGATGTCACTGTACTTAATAAACTATCAGTAGGAAGCGACCACAGACCAGTAAGAGCTAGACTAACGATAAATCTACAAAAAGAAAGAGCAAAGATGATAAACAGTTGCAAACGCATAGTTTGGAATTCACCAAATCATCCAGAAGCATACATAAAAAATATAGCCGAAACTTTACAGAGTAATAATCCCAAACCTCTAAGTATCGACGATCACAATAAATTAATAACAGACTCGGTTAGAAACGCACAACTCAAATTTTGCAAGAAAAATGACACCAAAAGTGAAAAGATTAGCAAAAATACAAAAACTCTCATGGAAATACGACGAAACCTAAGCGAGAACGAAAAGGGAAACAAAGAAGAATATAAAAAACTAAATAAAAGAATTTCAGCGGAAATTAGAAAAGATGTAAGAAGATATAATACTAATGTAATTACTCAAACAGTAGAAGAGAACAAAGGTTTAAAGATAATGAAAAGAAAACTCACACAAAGTAAAAAAGAAATATACAAGCTGAGAGATAAAGACGGAAAGGCAACAACAGATAAACAAAACATTCTGAAAATAACCAGAGAGTTTTATAAAGACCTCTATACCAGTCAAAGACCACAAGACAATTTCCCGACACGAGTAAAGACTCTCATAAATCAGGGATCGGAAATACTTTTACCCATTACTGTGTCAGAAGTAAGAGCAGCTTTAAAGGAAATGAAGAACCATCGATCGCCTGGTGATGATGGACTCGTTATCGAGGCAATAAAAGCAGGAGGAGAAATTTTATTAAAATCAGTAAGCGAACTGTTTAATAAATGCTTACATGCGGGTACGATTCCAAAAGACTGGAACAATGCAGTAATAGTCTTGTTACACAAAAAAGGCGATATTACTAAATTAGAAAATTATAGACCCATCAGCCTCTTGACACATATGTACAAACTCTTTATGAAAATCTTAACAAAGAGGCTAACACCTAAACTTGATTTCTATCAGCCCAAAGAACAGGCAGGCTTCAGGGCAGGATATGGCACAAATGACCATTTGCATACCATAAAGATCTTAATAGAAAAGTGCATCGAGTACAACATACCACTGGTTCTTGCATTTGTCGATTACGAGAAGGCTTTTGATTCTGTAGAGTTTGAAACAATACTGGAAGCCCTAAATCAAAGCCGAATAGATTACAGGTACACGACACTAATCAAAAACATCTACGAGAACGCTACATCAAGTATACGACTACACGAAGACACAGAAAAATTCAGCTTAGGGCGAGGAGTTAGACAAGGAGACAATATTTCACCAAAATTGTTCACGGCAGCTCTAGAGTCAATATTTAAGAGCACTCAATGGCAAGATATGGGCATCAATATAGATGGAGAAAGATTAAATCACCTAAGATTTGCAGATGATGTTGTATTAATCGCAGATAACTTACATGATACAGTTTCTATGATGCATTCGCTTAAAAGTCTGTCTGAAAGAGCAGGATTAAAGATAAACTTTGAGAAAACTAAGCTTATAACAAATCTCGTAATGAGTGGAAATATAACTATTGACAATAATACCATACAACAAACAGACACTTACAAATATCTAGGGCACGAAATCAAAATAAACAGAGACAATCAAACACATGAAATACAGAGGCGAATAGGCCTAACATGGGCAGCATTTGGCAAATTAAGCCATATTCTAAAAAGTTCAATTCCCATGTGTCTCAAGCGAAAGGTTTATAACCAATGTGTTTTGTCTGTACAAACTTATGGAGCAGAGACTTAACACTCACGCAAAAATCTGCGAATAAACTCAGAGTTACACAACAAGCCATGGAACATGCAATGCTGAACGTGAGCCTTGAAGACCACATAACAAACCAACAAATCAGGCAAAGATCAGGAGCTCAAGACGTCATCGAAAGAACCACGACGCTTAAGTGGAACTGGGCAGGGCACTTAGCCAGAACACAAGATGGACGGTGGAGAAGACGTATTATGGAATGAGGCCCAGAAACTATAAAAGAAGCCGAGGACGACCACAGACTAGATGGACCGATGATATAAAATGTGTAGCGGGAAACTGGCTACAAGCGGCCCAGTGTAGAGAACACTGGAAAGAACTGAGGGAGGCCTATATCCAGCAGTAGACGCGATTGGCTGATTGATGATGATCTCTACAATGAATATTGAATATTGAAAACATTGTGGTAACAAAGAGCTTGATGGGGAACATAAAAGTTAATCTAGCTTAACAGGTTTGGACAATCAATAAATCCATGTATGAACTTATGTACAAATATAGCTTCTAACATATCACGACGGATCTTGAGTGAGGGTCCAGTTCAGCAATTCTTGGCTTTTTGCGGTCTATTATTTATGAAATATAAAAAGCAATAATAGAATTAACTAGAAGGTACTTATTTTTAAATATGCTTTCAAAACTTTCAAAAGTTTTTAGAAAAATAAAGCAGCAAAATTTTGTTTGCTTTGATAACCTAGCCTGTAGGTTAATTTTTGGTTAAGTTGTTAAGATGTTTTTAAAATGTATGATCCCTGTCAGTAGATTATGAGAACAATCGCCAGTCTGGATGCATCGAGCAATAAGACAAAAGAGGGAATCTAATCGTTATGAAAAGGAGACCAAAAAAGTGGCCTCTGATGGTGGACATATCCGGAAATGCAAATGCGCCAAATTTAAATTTCATGACACTTGACAATAATGATACAGTGGTGTAGGGGTTCTAATTTATCCATTTATTTATTTTATATTACATAATATTTTATATTATATATTTATCTATTTTTTTATTAAAATTATTTATTAAAATACTTTTTTTAACACTATAATAGTCTAAAATGTTAAAAAAATTCAATAGAAAATATAAATATAAGCTTTTATGTGACAGTTTTGACAAACAATAACATCAACAATAACATAACCCAACTAAATTTGATTTCTTAAACAAGGAAAGAGATTCTCTATCCTTGTTTAAAGTGGCCTCTCAAAATAGCACTTCCTGTATGTCAATATGTTTACCCCCACTACCTTTACATTCCCTCTTTTGTCTTATTGCTCGATGTCTGGATGACATCTGATATTTTTGTCAAATGGACATGTGATTGGGACGGAGAACTGACTAAAAATGATAAGAAAATCCTGCTTCTGGTTAAAAATGGTTCAGCTCATCCCTTAATCGCTGACTTTAGAAGCATAAATCTTATTCTCCTGTCTCCTAGCAAAAATTCGAGTGTTAAAATCAAACTTTCGTAAAAACTTGGTTCTAAAAATTGTCGTCACTCTTGATGCAAATGAAATGAAAAGTATTATGTCTCATTTGCATAATGAAGTCCATACTTCTTACTATAGATATATACTTTTCCTAGTTATGTGAAATAAATTAATATTTTGATTTAAACTATATGGTCACATTAGTATTAATATATATATATATATATATATATATATATATAATATATATATATATATATATATATATATATATATATATATATATATATATATATATATATTAATAATATATAGTACTTAAATAATATTATTTAGTAAAAAACAAAAATTAAAATTTGCCAGTTCATTTAGAAATAAGCAATTATGGTTAGTATGACACAATCTGCCCAGTCCCTTGGCTGTCGTTATAACTGGATTGTACATAGTTATTACATTAAAAGTTACTAGTTACTAGTTATTACATTAAAATCAACAATTCATTAAAAGTCAACACAGATAAATTTTAAAAATTATGACATAAAAGCTTTAACAAAACCAATAAACGTATCAAGAAATAATATTGATTAGAGAGAGTACCTGAAGATCTTCATCTAATTAACAATAATAATTGGAAACAAGAAGTACCGGAGCGAGGAATATGAAAAGGAATGAAGAGTTGCATCGAAAAAAGTAAAAATTAAATTAAATGAATAAATTAAAACTAAAAATGAAGTAAAAATAGACACTAACTTTAAAGACTAGTCAAGCTTCAAAAATAAAAATAAATTTGGGAGGGTTTAATAGATAGTTATGTAAAAAAATGTAGTCAACAAAACATTTGCTAAATAAGCATATCTCAAGGAGAGGTCAGTTTACTAATAAAAGTTCACTGCTATAAAAAAAATAAGAAACATTCAGGAAAGGAATGGAAGGCAATTAAGAAATACACAAGACCAAAACTACTTTTATAATTGTCAATATTATGAGAAGCAAACAGAAATGGATTACACTGAAGTGCAAACAGTAAAATATAAACACTATTTTATATGGGATTAAAACACATTTGATTGTAGTGAGAATTAGATTTTATATTTGTTTTGAGGTTTCAATTTCCAGTATCGATATTATTCTCAAAAAATTTTAAATTAAGAAATTTAAAGAATGTTAAATTTAAGAAACATTAAAAATACACATATACAAAGAACATTAGTGGGAATTGGAATATGTTCAATAATTATTAAGCATAATTATGCACTCCTTGACCACAAATATTGTTAACCAATGTATTTATATTCAGCTTAAGCAATATCAGCCTTCCTTTTTAAACAATATGTGGGTAAGTAGGTAGTACAGTCCTTAATGCATGTTAATGGTCAACAATAAAATTGCACAAAACATTTTGTGTAGGGGTACAAAGTTAACATCAACAGTTTTTAAGATAGGTATAATGAAAAGCCCGAATTGACATTTATAATATAGAACACAATACAATGCGAAAAATGTCTCAATAATCTGTATATATTAAAGAGCTTTAATTCATAACTTCTATATTTTTAATAAATAGGAGTTGTTTTTACAAGAAAAGGAAACACCCTACATTTGTTTGTAATAATGAATCATGATAATTTCAAGTAAATAAATGTACTTACAGGAGCTGTATCCACATCAACGGGAGCCATAGTTTTTACTTGCACTTACTACTATAGAAATAAACTTAAGCTTTCTATTTTTGGATTAAATAGTTTTTACCGTTCACTTCCGTTACCGAAATCGAAAATGCAAACAAACAGCTAAAACACAGAGCGAGAACTGTCGTTGTCGTATTAAACGTCACTCTCAATTTGTCATTGTTCACGGTGTCATTTGGCAGAACACGGATTATGAGCCCTGACCAATGACGTATACTCAGAGAACTACTGTTCTCTGGTATAATATAGACCAACGAGAAAAACAGTCCATGGCGCGAGGCGGGAGTGTTTTTCGCACAGTACGTGTTCAACACGGTAATCGGTTTTATTGGAAAGACGCAACTTTCGAACGGAAAATCCATATTTAATAACATTGTATATCAGTACAAGTACAATAATATATTAATCAATTACATATTTTTTTATTTAAGTAAAAAAATAGTAGGCAATTGAGGTACATTGCAATTACATTACATTACGCAAGTACTGTAAATATCAAATTGTAATTTGTTTTTTTATTAAATATATTTGGTATTTTTTAACTGAGTTCTCCTTTTTGAATTTAACATGTTTGTAACGATTTAGTTAGGAATCATAGAATAAAACATATATTAGTATATCTTATTAGGTTTGTTCTAGCAAACAGACAAACTAGTCAGAAACCGTCAGCAAACAGTTGGTCAGCGAGAGAAAATAATACAGTCACCAGTGCTATATCCCCTCTACTCGCACTGGTCCACTATTCGCTGTTGGTTTCAAACCATTTGAAACTGATGCTAGAACAAACCTATTATCAATTGTAGATTTATTTGACATTCGGAAGAGCATCATTAGTTCTCTCTAGCTATTTCTTGGGAAGTAAACTAAGTATATTGTTTTGTAAGCTTTTTGGCTTTAGGATTAGTCTACGCTGCTAGAAACGAATTAAGTATTAAGGCTGATTTATAAACTTGTTGGCGTTGGCTGGCGTTCGCCGTTGACCTTGGCGCTCGCTATCATATAATGCATTTATAAACTTTCGGTTGGCGCTGGCGTTAAAGATGACATCCTTACATTTTTAATTTAGTATTATTAATTTTTGTTAGGTGCAGTGGCAAGTCTCACTGATACTTTGTCTTCGAGCAGCACTGAGCCTTTGAAATAATAGGCAACGTCGATACAAACGGAGGCCCATTAACTAGAACAGAAAGACAAGAGGTAATTTTAATTATAAAAATATGAAAACTGGGATACACAGCAGTTTTTGGATTTACCAGTTTAGATACTAGGATGCAGATTCCAGTATTTGAAAAAAAAATGCAAATGGTAAAACTAAAAATAAATGTAAACTATCGCTCTGATGAAATTTCTATTGAAGAGAGGCGTGTTGTTATCTAAACTCTTCCATTTTATAAACACGTGGAAACATAAACAAATAATTTAGTTTGATTTGTTTAACAAATCTTCTCACTTTTTCAGTATTGCTATTGGCTGCGATGACAAAGATACAGTTTTTTTATGTTCTGTGATCATGACAACAACCACAGAAGGGTTTGTATATTCTGTGCTACAACAGCCAACGGCAAAAGATAAAGTTGGTTCATTTTGAACGGAACCGAACGCCGACGCCAACGGCGAACGATGTTTATAAATAGACATACAAGTTTCCCATTTGACCATGTTGTAACGCGAACGTCAGCGCCAACGCCAACCTAAAGTTTATAAATCACCCTTTAAGGGTTGAGTTTACCGAAAGTACAAGCTGAATATAGCCGCAAATGTCAAAAATATTTCGGTTTGGCAGTGTTGACATGTTTTTATAATGTATATGTTGTATAATTCAAATATAAAGAGATAAAGCTTTTAAAAAGTACTTTTTTATTATATTATTTTACGAATTCCGCAATTTTTAATTTATATGAATCAATAACTGGTAAATATTTGTCTCTACCGAGATTATTTGCAAACATCTGGCAACTGCTGATTTGACCATTGCCAAATCTCTCCCCTAATCTATCAAAGGTTAATTGCTAAAAAAATTTCTAATAATTAATTGCAGTTAATCTCAAAAAAAAACAAATATTTACTCATTCTTGTTTTATATCAATCAAAAATTGCAGAATTCATAACATAATATAAACAAAATGTACTTTTCTAAAGCTTTATCTTTTATATTTGAAGCTGTCGTGTTATCAAAGAGGGGTTACAAATAATAATCGTTACTTCACAACATCAGTTTATTCTCAACCCTCAAACATACATGCTTGCCCGAGCTTCGGCTACGTTCACATGACATCCCTGTCATCTGTGTTGCCTAACTCCGGCGCCTATATCTTAATCTAAGCTAACAACACATCTCCTTTTTTTTATAAAAGATCCCTGTGTCATTAATGATCTTATACCTAAACTAACTTAAACTACTACAAACATAATCTGTTAAATGAACCGGTTTCTTCACAAGTCTTTTTGGCCTGCTAGGCTTTACGCACTCAAAGTCCGATACACTATCGCTTTTATCCTGACCCGATGGAGGTAAAACATGATTTCCACTTTGTTCGATTTTGTCCTGAAATACACTGGGTTCCCCCCTACTACTTTCCTCCATTATTTTACCCTGTATGTCACCATTGCTTTGATTAGAGCAAGGCATTAGCTTTGTGTTACTAGAAATTGGCGGAACATAATCATTTGAGGATTCTGGTTGGGTGCTCAATACAGGGAAACAGTAGGGTGCATGAATCAAATGCCATCTATTTCTTCTAAATTTCCCGGTTTCAGTTTCAATTATATAGGACCTGGGTTCCTGACAGATCGCAACAACTCGCCCATATTTCCTGATATCAACCACCCACACAGAATCACCAACCTTAAGAGGATCTAAATCCTTGGCATTGTGTCGCTTATTGTAGTTTTTCACTTGTTTATCCTTTATTTCATTCTTTTTATTTTTAGTGTTTGGTTCTTTTGAAAAGTTTAATAAGCTTGGAAGCTGGGGTAAGTTAGATCTTAATTTTCTATTCATTAATAATTCAGAAGGTGAAACACCACATTCTAGGGGTGTACATCTATATGCTAACAATGCCAAACTTAGGTCCTCTTTTTTATTTTTCTGAATTAATCTTTTTGCAATTTGTACAGTGCGTTCCACTCCACCGTTGCTCTGAGGCCAGTGCGGACTGCTCGTCGTATGAACAAAATTATATTCTTTTGAAAACTTTATAAATTTTGATGAAAATTGAGTACCACGGTCGGATCTAACTTCCTCTGGGATACCATAACGAGAGAAAATATCTTTAAGCTTAGGAATAATGGCATCTTCTGTCATATTGGTTAAAGTAAAAATTTCAAACCAATGTGAAAAGTAGTCAGTGGCAATCAAATACCACTTATCATAACATTTAAACAAATCAACCCCCAGTTTTTGCCACGGCCTTTGTACAGTATTGTCTTTATGAAATGTTTCTCTATGATTTACTCTGTGTTCAACACATTGGGGACAATGTGTGACAAGGTTATTAATCTGGGATGACAAACCCAGCCACCAAACGCTCTGTTTGGCACGATCTCGACATTTTACAATTCCCATATGGCCTGTATGAATAAATTCCAACACCTTGAGTTGAAGACTCTTAGGAATGATTATGCGAGACCCTTTTAAAAGTAATTGTTCCGAATAGGAAATTTCATATCTATATTGATAGTATGGCAACAATTCAAATGGCAATTTAGATCTTTCAGGCCAAGAAGACAAAGAATATTCTTTTAGTTTTTTACAAATATATTCATTTTCTTGTTCTGTTTTTATTAAATTCAAAAAATAATCTTTAATTGGTAAATTATGAATAATTGACTGCACATATGCTGCAGTTTCTGCAGTTAGTTCTTTATTAGCTAACGTATCTGTTTGTAAAGGGGCCCGACTTAAAGTATCTGCTACAATTAAATTTTTTCCCGGCGTGTAGATTACAGTATACTTGTATCGCATTAAACGCATTCGAAATCTTTGCAAACGTGGCGTTAACTCATCTAAATTTTTAGTTTGCAGAATTTGTAGTAAAGGTTTATGGTCTGTTTCAAAAATTAGGTTAGGAACTCCTGAAATAAAATCATAAAAATATTCTGCTGCCCATGTAAGTGCAAGAGCTTCTTTCTCAATCTGAGCGTATCGTGTTTCAGCTGAGTTCAGAAGCCTAGATGTAAAAGCCACTATTTCCCGAGTATGATCTACATTTTCTTGAAATAGACATGCACCTATACCAAAACAACTTGAGTCTGCACTAACAATTATGGTTTTATTAGCATCAAAAAACGCTAGATTTGGAGGGCTCTCTAACTTTTGTTTTAAAGTGCTGAAAGCTTTATCTTGTGCTGGACCCCACAAAAAGTTAATATTTTTTTTTAGTAAGTGTGTTAATGGTTCAAGAATCTCAGATTTATTATGAATGTATTTTGCAGCAAAATTAATCATACCCAGCCATCTTGACAGCTCAGTCTTATTTTTTGGTTCAGGAAAATCACGGATAGCTTTAACCCTATCTGGATCAATTAATATCCCTTGCTCAGAGACCATATGACCCAAGTATTTAGCTGTTTTTGTTGCTATAGAGCATTTGTTTTTATTTAGTGTAATACCTTCCTTATGAAGTTTTGTTAGGACTGTGTTCAAAATATTGTCATGTTCCTCTATTGTCCTTGCATGAATAAGAATGTCATCTATATGGACAACACAGCCTTCAATGCCAGTTAAGATTTTTGAAAATCTCATAGTAAAATACTCTGGGGCACAAGATATACCAAATGGAAGCCTTTTAAAGAAAAATCTGCCAAAAGGTGTTATAAAAGTTGTTAACAACTGACTTTCCTTATTCAATTTTATTTGGTAAAACCCACTTGTGGTATCCAATTTTGAGAAGAATTTAGACCCTTTCAACTGTGCTAGTGTATGAGATATTTTCCCGAGAGGAAAATGTGACCGTAACACGTTTTCATTAAGTTTAGTATAGTCACCACAAAGCCGTACACAATCTCCCTTGTCCACACAAACAATTGGGCTGACCCAAGAAGTAGGATCTTCAATGGGTTCAATTATCCCTAATTTTAGCAATCTATCAATTTCAATTCTTAATTTTGGTAACAGAG